TACAACTTCTTGGGGGGGATGGGGGAAGTGAAGAAGGTGGAGGAGGGAAGAAAGGTACTCATTGCCTTACTCAGGTGACTGTTACCCCTCTGTGCAGCATCTTTACAATAAAAATATATATTCAATTAAAAACTTTTAAAGGGGGAAACAAAACAGATTGTACAAGTTAGTCTTTTCATTACTATGTACCCCAGCCCTCTTAAGGATATTAATAACCAAATAGTTTATTGTGCTCTTTAAAACTTTTTATATAGATTATCCCTTTGAACCAGACATTGTTAGAAGGATTATATCTGTATGATGAAGAAAGATGATCAAATTCGGTTCTGTGTCATGTAATTTAACTACTCATTGATTAAAGTGTATTTTACAAGAATTACTGGTAACAATAATGACATTGTTATGAGGAATAATATGTTTTGATACTTTTTAAAAGCAGAACTATATACTAGCATCTTGGTATGTACTAATGAATTGACTATTGATTAAAAAAGAAAGGAAAGGGGCTGGGAAGGTGGCTCAGTGGTAGAGTGCTTGCCTTGCATGCCTGAGGCCCCTGGGCTCAATTCCTCAGCACCACATAAGCAAAAAGAAAAAAGCCGGAAGTGGTACTGTGGCTCAAGTGGTAGAGCGCTCGCCTTGAGCTGAAGAGCTGAGGGACAGCACCCAGGCCCAGAGTTCAGGCCTCACGACCAGACCCAAAAAAGAAAAAAAAAAGGAAAGGAAAGAAATAGAGAATTTGTGCAAAAGTGACATAGGTGGCAAACTAAACACATTATATACCAAAATGTCTCATTTCAGAGGGAAAATTTATTGTTTTCCAAACTGATAGCTTTACTACTACCAACTGTTAGGGAAGTAACTTATAATCAGGCTCTCTGTGAGTAGGGTATCTCGCAATCTTCCCTTGTGTTATAAACCACCAAACATCAAGTGAGTTTTAACAAGTCCATAGTGAGGCTTTGTAATTCCGGAGCTGGCCAGCAGATGTGGGCGGCCTGGGATGAGCTCTCCTTAGCTCCTTTCCACAAGTAGAGAATTGTGAGGTAAACTTAGGAGGTCCATTGCTAGTTCAGTTCTATTTTTATAAAAACTGCCTCTCTCTTTAACCATGGCTTTGCCTTGTTTGAGTTTTTTTAATTACTATTCTCTTTAAATAGTTGAACAAAAGAGGTGACCATTCAACATGTCAGTTTATGAGTACAATGCATCTTCATCAGTGTTACGCCTTGCATCGTTTTCCTCCATCCCTGCCAATCCCACCCATTCTTTCAGCTTCATAGGATATGCATTAGCTCTTCTCCTCCCCTGACCCTTCCCTCTCTTCATTCATGTACTCCTTGCCTTGTGTTTGTAGTGATCTCATGGTCAGCTGATCCCTTGAAGTTCCCTTATGGTTTTTCCTTCATTTGGATCCTAACTGAGCTTGATACCCTCTGGTGATACACAAGGCAGTGCGTGCTAGGCAGGGTTCTTCATTCCCTCCCTCACCTGACCCTCCAAGTTTGACAGCCCAGCCACCATCTGCTCCAGAACATGGGCACACCCATTTCTGGTACTGAGCCCTCTTTCACCTGTAGGATTTTATTTCAGCCCAAAATGATATGAAAAGGAGCATTACTCATTCATCTACCAGCCTCCAAGAAATGTGATTTCACCTTAGACATGCCATTTAAAGTGGAGGAAAGCAAGGCTGATTTTTTTCCCTGCATTTAAAGTGGCTACAGTAGTAACAAATAAAGCAGAAACATCACATTCCCTAACTTAAAAAGAAATAACATCACTCTATGTTATTGATTTCCAACTAAGAGCTGCCCAGTGCCTTGCATTTGAAATGTCACATAGGTCGCTTTCCCCCTGTCTCTTCTCCAGCCTTGGGCCAGCACTTGTGTGTAAGCTGCCTCTACTCAGCCCTTTCTTGCTATTCTTTAGGAGTTGGGGTGCCCTGCTAATAAATTATTGGTGCAAAGAAGATGCAGTGATTCTTAAGGAGCTTAAGTTTTTGAGGAAAATCTGACTGTGTGCCTTAGGCAAGAGGCCTCTGATCCCTAGGCTCCCTACAATAATGGGACCGGAACAGGTCTGTTGGTAGTACAGGGACAAGGAGTGGTTCACAGGAAGATACCAGAGAAGTGACACTTCAGAAGAATCTAGAAAGGACAAAGTTATTGTGAAGTCACCACGACAAAGTCTGTCATTACACTTAGAGAACTGCAAACAGATTGGTTTCGAAGCAAGTGAGAGCCTAAGCAAGCTAGTGTGGCAGACAGGAGGTTCCTTTAAGCCACATGCAGAAGCTGCTATGATCCAGCTCTGTGGTTCTACTGCAAGAGTTTCATGGCAGATCAAACCACATGATCTACCATAGATGACATCAAACCAGCCCTTTGTATTTGTCTGCAGTTCTCCTCTTCTCTTTCACCTCTTTAGTAGAGAAACAGCACTGTGTGAGATATGACTTAGGGCTTTCTTTTAAAGCAAGCTATTGTTTCCTTTATCATTGACTTACCAGAACCTCCATGGAGGTCATTCAGTGTGTATCAGTAGAGGGCGCTGTTGCGACTTCTTTCTTGTATGAGGTTGACTGTTGGCGTCTTTGGCCCTGGGTAAGACTAGCACGAAGCTCTTCATCAGTCACTTGAGAAGCTGAATTTCCACATGCTCTTTGGGATGGAAGGAGTTAGTGGCAATGATTCCCTTTTTTTCCATCCACAGAGTACAGTCTCCATATGTTTTGTGTACAGAGGAAGGAGAGGCGAGATGAATCTGATGGTTACAGTCACAGCCTGTATGAACACCAGGCCTCTGGGATTCTGGTTCAAGGCTCTTTGCTAGCTCCTTCCCCTGAATTCCCAAAAGTTGAGAAAAGTTTGAGGGGGGCTGTGGCCATGTGAGATTGCTGATTTAATGTGATTTATTATCTCCTCCTTGGTACTCCTATACCCAGAGAGGAGGAAAGAAAGGGAACAGGATAGGGATGCAAAGAAGAAGGTGGTACTATTAGATCCAGACCACAGAGAGTTTAAAAGCTGAGATATAGGAGACAGAACCAACAAGCAGAGTAGGCAAAAAATTAAAGGGCAAGCACAGGAGTGGGGGATGATTAGTGTCAAAGGAAAAAAAAGTATCAGAGAAAGGTGAAACATTCAACACCATAAATGTATAGCATCCCACAATTACAAAATTGGCCCAGGTAAGCTAGTACACTTTCCTAGTGTCCAGCTGTTAGAGCTAAATCACACAAAACCTGTGTGATTTTTCCCAACCACAAGTGCTAGCAACATCCTCTTTCCTGCTGTTGGTCATTTCTACCCATGCCCCTCTGTCTGTGGTATGCACTCATCAGTTCTAGAAGTGCAGTAAGTACCTCAAGGAATGGATGGTCTTTGCCTTCAGGAAACAATGTGGCAGGGTGGACCACACTGAAAATCAGCCACGAGCAGAGAAGACAGAGAGTCACAGGAAAGAAGCTGGCATTTGCCAGCTGCTGACATGTGCCAGGCCCAATCACCCCTACATACCTGAGTTAGATCTTCTTGTCTCCGTTTCTCAAATGAGGAAACAGAGGCTGAAAGGTTAAAAGATACGTTGAAGGTTCTGCAGTTGGAATGTTGAGCCCTGCTGTGCTAGGAGCTCTAACAGACCATCTGATTGACACACAGACTAAACATCCAAAATGGCTTTGACTCCCCGTATCCAAAATGCTTCAACATCCCAACCTGAGTACCAGTATAATGCTACCCCCACGTAGACAATCTGCCACCTGACATTGTCTGACAGGTTAATCAATATCCAGGCATACTAAAATTACTCTATAAAATGATCTCCACACTATGTCTAATATGCATAGGAAACATAAATAGATTTTGTGTTTAGACTTGGGTCTCATCTCCAAGATATCTCATTATGGATATGCACATATTAAAAAATGTAAAAAACATCCAAAATCGGAAATACTTTTAAGTCTCAAGATGTCCTGATAAGGGATATTCAATTTGTAGATGATAAAATGCATTTGAGAGTAGTATGAAGCCATGCATTTAGAACTGATGAGATGATCTTTGCTGTTGTCTGGAAGTCTGATATAAACAGTAAGTTTTCTCAAGAGAAAACTGAGATCACTCCTTCAACAGACTGCTTTGTGTTTGCTGGTTCCAAAACCCAAAGATGCCCATTTGGGAAAACGGTAGCTATCACTCAGCTTTGTCTCCCTATCTGCCTTTGATCGACCAACATTGCATTTCAGGTCCTCTTTTAACATAAAGGTCAATCAATCATTCACAAATGAATGATGTCAGAATTATATCTACTTGATTGGTTTCTGTGTATGAGAATCATTCTGACCAGTAGTGGCTCACACCTGTAATCCTTGCTACTCAGGAGGCTGAGATCTGAGGATTGAGGCTCAAAGCCAGCCGAGGCAGGAAAGTCTATGAGATTCCTATTTCCAGTTAACCACTCAAAATCTGGAAGAAGAGCTGTGGCTTGGGGATAGTACCTAGCCCCAGAGCTAGCACAAAAAAAAATTAAAAATCAAAGAAACTAAAGTTTCTTCACTTCCTATTTTCTGACAGAGCTATTTCTGTCTCTTCTATCTAGGCCTGGGTCTTGTTCCACATAAATTGAGCTCTTCCATAAGCTCTCATCTAGCTAATGCCTTGGAGAGGAGGAGAGCCAAATTGTTCAGCATTGCATTTTTTCATTTAAATTGATAGCCCCTGTGAAAATAACTCTGCTTGATTAAGTGATTGGAAAGTTTCTCTCCGTGTGTGTGTCTGTCTGTCTGTCTGTCTGTGTGTGTGTGTGTCTGTGTGTGTCTCTGTCTGCCTGTCTGCCTGTCTGCCTGCCTGCCTGTCTGTCTGTCTGTCTGTCTGTCTGTCTGTCTCCCCCATTGATATGCTATAACTCAATGTAGGCAGTTGTTGTTTTTATGGTTGGAACTAAATCCTGATACTGCTCATCAGAACTAAATCTTTGCAATTTTTTTTTTCTCGTTTCAGGGTCGTCATGTTAAAACAGGCCAGCTTGCAGCCATTAAGGTCATGGATGTGACAGGGGTAATGTATCTTTATCTTCTCATCTCAATTCTTATGGATTGGTAGCAAAGACATTAGTCATCGAAAAAAGTGACTTTCCTGGGGGAAACAAAATCCTTCCTAAACGTGAAAGATCTTTCCCTACTTGGGCTTCTTTGCGTATGTAACTGCTGGCCAAGGAGACTGTACATAAATCACTCTCATTAAATCCAGGACCTCTACACTGCCTTGGGCAGTTAGAATGAATTATGTGCGCTCATAATTTGCATACACATAAGCATGGGTATTTGCATATGAATAAAGAACAAGAATTTCAAGGTATTAGAAGAATAATACTCAGATTACACAGGAAAGATGAGTCTGAATGGGCTCCCCAAAGGTCTGCCTAATGCTGGGGTCCACGGAGTTTAGATAGGTCCAAAATGCTAAGTGTTTTCCAAAACAAAATATTTGTGACCAAATCACATAACCACAAACTATCATTATTATTATTACAGAACCATAATGAACCCTGTTTCTGCCTGGGTGATCAAAAGCAATCTAAGGAATAGACTTTATGTAAAATGCAATCTAATGCTTTCAATCCTTTTTGCTAGATCTATTTAAAATACTTTAATGCCTTTTCAAGAGTACAAAGCAAAAATCAGACTTGAAAGGATTCACTGGACATCAAAAGCGTGCTAATAATTCCCTATTGTCCTGGGAATTTTTTTAACTAAGATGTCTGTCTGCTCTACATGAAAGATAAAAGGTAAGAGTCTTCATTTAGTCCCAAAATGGAGGCCTCGGTATAAACATAGGATAAAGAAGGAAACAAAATGCAGGGGGGGAGGGTGTGGCTTCAAGTGGTAGAGCACCTACCTGCCTACCAAGGGAAAAGTCCTGATTTCAAACCCATGCACTGCAAAAATTTTTAAAAACGTTAATTAAAAAAATTAGTGGTAGAGTGCTTGCCTAGCATGCATGAAGCCCTGGGTTCAATTCCTCAGTACCACATAAACAGAAAAAGCTGGAAGTGGTGCTATGGCCCAAGTGGTAGAGTACTAGCGTTGAGCAAAAGAAGCTCAGGGACAGTGCCCCCCCCTGCCAAAAAAAATTAAAACCCACAACTAAGAAAAACCATACAAGCTGAGCACCAGTGGCTCATGCCTGTAATCCTAGCTACTCAGGAGACTGAGTTCTGAGGATCACAGTTCAAAGCCAACCTGGGCAAGGAAAGTCCCTGAGACTCTTGTCTCCAGTAAACCACCAGAAAACCGAAGTGGAGCTGTGGCTCAAGTGATGAGTCCTAGCCTTGAGCCGAAGAGCTCAAGAACAGCACCCAGGCCCAGAATTCAAGCCCAATGACCAACAAAAAAAAAAAAAAGAGAGAGAGAGAAAAAAGAAAAACATGCAATATAAATATATATTACATGGTAGTTTCCTACCATGATAACATGTCACTGATTTTCACTGGTACCACACATTTATTGTTGATATGAATTCCTTGTCAAAGTATATTCAAGTGGCTGAGTATGGTAGCTCATGCCTGTAATCCCTGCTACTCCAAAAACAGAAATTGGGAGGATCACAGTTTGAGGTCAATCCAGGCAAAATCCTTTCTCAATAAATAATCCAGGAATGATGGTGTATGTCTTACAACCTCAGATACTATGTGCATAAGTAGAAGAATCACAATCTGAGGCCAGCCCTGGCCAAAAATGCAAGACTTTATAAAAAAAATGAATAAATCCAAAAGCTTAAGGGTATAGCTCAAGTGATAGAATGCCTGCCTAATAAATAAAAGGCCCTGAGCACAAACCCTAGGATCACACACAGAAAAACTATACTCAAGGGCTGGGAAGGTGGCTCAGTGGTAGAACGCTTGCCTTGCATGCCTGAGGCCCTGGGTTCGATTCCTCAGCACCACATAAGCAAAAAGAAAAAAGCCGGAAGTGGTGCTGTGGTTCAAGTGGTAGAGCGCTCGCCTTGAGCTGAAGAGCTGAGGGACAGTGTCCAGGCCCAGAGTTCAGGCCCCACGACCAGACCCTCCCCCCCAAAAAAAAAACTATACTCAAGAAGTTAAATATAACCAGTAAAGGTAAAAGCTTAAATTAATAAAAGTAAAAACTCTGTCTCTATGTGTTTATCACCACTTGGATGAAGTTCTAGGGTTTATTTTTACTTTAAGACAGTATTTTAGAGGTTACATTATGTCAGATATTGTAAAACAGATCAATTATTTAATCTCAAGGCAGTTCAGTAACACAGCAGGCCATGTGGACTATGAAACTGCATGTGGTTTATGTTAATTAGGTTAACTTCTGCTTCTTAAAACAGAGGATTAAGCATGATAGAAGTGTCTTGTTCTCTCATGTTAAAAGGAATCTTAAAGATGATGGTGTGAGGAAATGTGGCAATTTGGTAAAGGATAATTGTATCATTTTGTTCAGTAATTTTAATAGCCTTTCTACTTGAGCTCACTTCATGGCTCAAAGTGGTTGTTGGATTTCTGTTTATCACATTCTACATAACAACCCTTCTCCCATAAAAGGGATGTGAGTGAGCAGAAAGACACAGAAGAAATATTCCCAGAGAGATCTGTTTTCTTTGTGTACATCATTATTTCTGCTTTCATTGGGCCTATCTAGCTGCAAGGGAGTCTGGGCAATGCCCCCCTGTTTATTCTGACAAGTTTTCCAGTTAAAAATACAGGGTCTACAAGTTAGATATGAAATAAGAATGGTGAATTAGCAGGGTCTGACACAAAAACCTGATACTGTTAACATCTATACAGAGACCTGTGATAGACATGTGACTCTTTTATAAGGCCCTAAGCTCAGAACAAGTAGAATTTCCTTTTCTATTCTGCTGAGGTCACACTGCTGTGTTTTTCTTGGATTGAATCAGATTTCTACATAATGAGATGCACTTGGCAATTTTACAACTAATGGTTATGGATGCAGTCCAAGACATTCATACTGTACATTAAATTCTGCTGTGTGATTCTCCAGAACTCAGGTTGAGTTGCATTGACATCATTTATCTTAGGTCATAAAGTTGTTTGTTGACACACAAAGTTGGACTTGAAAGCACTAAATAGCACTCTCCTAGTTTCTGGGTTCTGCTGAAGCGTTAGGAGTACTTCAGGAAACCATTCTTTTGATTGTCTAACATCAAAAAGAGAGTTATTTTCCCAGAGTGTGTATTTTCAGGGTAAGGAGTGTCAGTTTAACCTTTCTAAATCAGGTTTCATTGGGCAACTAAGACATATGAAAAATTAGTTAAGTGTTATTTTCTCCATTCTCTAAAGCTGCTACACAGGTAAAGCCATTGTACATGTAAATGTCAACCCATTAGGACAATGGAGAGGATGCATTGTAGTATTGGGGAATCCCTGTCCAGATGGGCTGGATAAGTACCTGTGATTTAGTCATGTGACCCTTCACAAAGGTGAACATGGGTGCATATCCAGAAATCTTTTCTTATTTCCATGGTGACTGATCAGCTGACCATTGTATCTTGTCTTACACATCACAGTCAATGTAAGATTTCCTTGTGAATTCATGCGTTGCCTCTAGTAAACAGTCTCTTCCACTCTGCCACATTGCCTTTGGTATACGATGGAATGTTTCGGATGCTTCTCACCAATTATTATAATTGTGCTCATTATAGCTGCTCTGTTAAAAACTGACATGAATTCTCAAAAGTCATCTTTGTTGATTGTTTGCACTGACCTATGATGAAGTTTCCACAGTTTATGATAATGAAATTGATGAGACCACAAGCTTGAGATTATGATTTTTAAATTACCAGTTTTATTCTCTATCACTTCCTTTTTATGGAAAACAGCCACAGAGAAAACCAGATACAATGGCTGTATCTTTCCAGTTTTAGAGCTGAGACATTCTTCCAAATTTCCTAACTTTGGCATCAGAACTACTGCTCATGCTCAGACTCGAAGTTCTTTTAGGTCCCCAAGTCATCCTGGAAGGTGTCCCATTTTATTGCTTAGTAGGGTTCCATCCTTACCAGACTGTGTTCTCTAGATTTTGTCTACAATTGCCAAGTATTTCTCACAGTGAACTATACAGCCTCAATAGACTGTCAGGGCTTATGGGAGGCTCATAAGATAAGAAGATTATCAGGGCTGCAGCAGGGTTTCAGAGCATAGCCTCTCCGAATCTCCTATTTCTACAAGATCTCCAAGAAGCCCCACATATACCAAAGTTAGAGGCCCACTTTTCTTGAGCTTTGTAGTTACTCTATTTTGGCTATGGGGTAAGAAGAAACTATGATTCTTTGATAACCTAGGTGATCCCCATTATAATTTATAAACATTCCTGATGGAGAAAAAAAAATGACACCCTGACGTGCATATGGGACTTAGTAAAACCATCTCCTTCACGATGATGGACTGAGATTATTCAGTGTAATTTTGGTTTTAAGTCTCTCCTTGGTACTTATACTCAAATTGATGAAGCCGGAAGGGGAATGCACTGGCTTGTTTTTATTAAACAAATGAACACTCATAAAATTAAGTAAGATCTAGGAAGTCCTTTGGTATGATGAGAATTTTTTCCTTGTCCATCTCTTGGCTCAGCTTTTTGTCCCACCAATAGATCCATGTTCTAATGACTTCATTGTTGTGAGACCCAGCAGAGGACCGGTGAGTGTAAGCCTCAGTTAATCTACTTCAGTCATGAACCAGTCCTGAACCTGCCTGTGATTCTCTCCAGGCAAGTTTGAGTTGGGTGCTTGGCTCTGGATTTCACCATAGGGACTGAGAGTTGGGGACAGTTGATTCCTCAAAAGAAAACCCGAGAACTATAGAAAAATAGGAAGGATGCTGCATGGGCAAAAACAGGAGAGTTCTATTAATATATCATATCATTAGAGAAAATGTGTTCAACACTGATTTGGTCCTTCAGTACCATTGTAGTTATAATTTTTATATTCAAAGCCAAAAATAACCACAGTGGTAACTACCATTAATGGAGGGAAATACTATATATATGCCATAACTTCTCCAAATACTTTGT